ACTGTTCACATCTAAATCATATTGTTCTTCTAACAATGCTTCACTGGATATATTTTATTTACAAAGTTAACGAATTTTGAAATTATATTTTTAATGCTTATGTACTTTGAAAGAAACTACTTTTGATGAAACTTAAAGCAAGTAGTATGCAAGCTATTAATTGAGTTGTTGGTGATATATTCTCTGTATAGTACTGCCTGTTCACGAAGTGAATAATAGTAAAAGCGAATGGGAATACCAGCTGTTAAATTGTTCATTGAAATTATTAGCTTCGCAATGGCGAAAAAGATAATTCTTTTCAAAAAAAAGGTGGATTATTGATAGTTTTCTTATTTAAGAACAGCTAAAGTGCATGGAGGGACAGCTAAGATGCATTCAAAAGTATCCCAAAACACAAATTAAAAAAAATTACTGAATAAAAAAAGTTTTCGAAATGATTTAAAATTAGTTCAAGTTATTAAAGCAGTTTTGAAGAGTCAAAACCTACAATTTTTTAAGCATGAATTATTACATTTTAAAACTTCACGATGGCTAGATTTGTTTAAAAAAATCTTTGTGGATTCATTCAATTTTTTTATTGTATCTCTATTTATTTATGTATCTGATTATCTTATTTCTCTAAATAAGTCTTTTCAAATTTTGAATATTATTAATAGCTTTAATTCTAGTATTTTCAGGGCTTTTTTTACTTAGCAACTGGTTTAAAATAAGTTGTAGGTATATTCAATGAAAGATACAGGATGTTTTGGTGATTGAGATAGCTAACCTCCAGACATGGAGCAAACTCCAAACATAAGTATGTTTATACTTATGTCAAATAATGAGGCTGTGAAAAAATTGTGATGATTGGAGGCAGGTAACAAAAAAGCCCTTTGACTTTATACCCCCTCTCCTCCCCCCCCCCCCCTAAACGTGAGGGGCAACAACTTGATTAAAAAATTTTGTACTTTTATCAATTATTTTTATATTCAGCGATAAATTTCAAGTTTCATAGTATTATCTCTGACCGTTCAAAAATTATGACCATATAAAACTTGTAACCTCCTCATATTGAGGGGGTTTACACTATATGGTCATAATTTTTAAACGCTCAGAGATAATACTAAGAAATTTAAAGATTATCAATGAATATATAACTAATTGAGAAAAGTACAAAATTTTTTTTATGAAATTGTTGCCCCTCATGTTTGTTTTATGAAGTCAAAGGGCTTTTTCGTTCCCTGCCTCCAATCGTAGCAATTTTTTGCACAGCCTCATTGTTTGACATAAGTATAAACATACTACTGTTTGGAGTTTGCTTCATGTCTGGAAGTTAGCTATCTAAATCACCAAAAAATTCTGAATCTGTCACTTGGTATATTGGAGTAACAATATCTAAACCGAGATTCTAAGATTTTCTATCAGGTTTTATAATGCTTTTTACGTTTTTACCTTTATTTTTATTTTACTATTATTTTTCATTTTTGTACCAAAAAAAATATATGTTTTTAATTTTAAAATTGTTTAATAAATTTAATTTAATTTAAAAAAAAAAAACAATTTTATTTTTTAAGCAATTGATATAATTTTTTTTCTATGTGGGAAGGGAGGAGAAGTTTTTAGCTCTCTTTAATTACACTTATGTTTAAAAATCCTCAACAAATTCACTGAATTGAATTAGTTTTGCGTTAATTAGTTTTTAGAAAACAAAGAGCCTATTTAATTTAAAAAAAATTTGTAACCGGCCTTATTTCTAAACCCTGCTAATTCATAGAGCACAGTTATTTTTTTGGTTTATAAAAATTTAACTCTTTTATAAATCAACGCAAAGTATGCTAAATTATTTCACTCTGTTTTTTAAGTTTATCCCTGAGAATGAACCTTTTTTTTTACTTTTTAGGTACAATTAAAAAGAATTATTGTACCTTGAGCCACAAATTTTTAGAGGCTTTTACATGACGGAGTTCTATAATTCAACTCTTTATACTTATATTAATACAAAGTAATTAATATAGAGATGTTATTGAATAGGTCCTTTTAAGAATCCTTGTGCAAAGTTTATAAAACCCTCGTCCAAATTTAAAATATAGATTAAGGTTTGCGTAAACAATTTTTTTAAATGGATTGCTAGTTTAATTTGATAAAAGTTCATAAATGGCCTTCTTGTTATGACTTGTTATGTCAAAGAGCAAAATCAAGAAAACTGTATTAACTAAATTAGTCAAACTTTATTATGTCTTTAGAAATAAAGCCGATCTTGATACCAAAACAAGTAAAAACAGACGCTCTAACTACTGAGTTTTAACTGGAAATTGTCTATAACCTGGAATGTATATATTCTCAAACTAATTTTGTTTTACCAGTTTGTCTCCGAAAATGGACATTTTGCACGTCTCCGAAAAACACATTTTATTGTATGTCCCCAAAAATGACCATTTTATGTTTGAAAAATTTACGGGGACCATTTTTTACCAAAAGTTTGTATATTTAGTTGTCATTAAGTCTATAAGTTAACCTCATGTTATTTATTTTATTTTTTTACTACTTTAATAAATTTACACATCGTTACGTTATAACTACATGACATAATAATCCCACGTAAAAATATCTTCTATATAATATTGCCGAACTTAATAGTTTTAATAGTAGTAGAGTGTCCCTTGGAGCGTATTTGACGCAAAACCCTTGGCAGCCATTGCAACCGAGGTAGTGGCGAGTGAGAGTTGAGCAGCACTTTTTTTTTAAGAAAACGTGAACAAACGTGTATGCAAATTTGTAACGTATGTAAACTTTAAATTAAGTAATGTTAAAACATACTGAAACATTTATCAAGTTTTACAGTTTGATTTTCGCTTAAAAATTGCGTTGCGTCAAGTTCTCCTTATTTTTGATGTACAGCATATCTTTCCGTGAAAAACGTTATTACATAGTTTTAAAAATTTTCGTTTAACAACGTCCCAGCGTGGCCGAGTGGATAGCGCTCTTTGCTTCTGAACAAGTAAGCCCTGGTTCGAGTCCTACCATTGAAAACTTTTTTTTTTTTAACTTGTTTGACTATCTTAAAATACAAAATACTTTTGCAGTTTTATAGAATGTTTATAAAAACATATGTAACGATATTATACACTTAAACGAACGAAAAGATTTTAAATAAGATAATATTTTAAAAAAAATCAAAACACCAGAGAAAAACATTGTTGCGTATGTGTCATGATTGAGAGATACTTATGTTAATAACGTACTTAGGTAATTAGTCCTACACATCCACGCTGAACCAGATTTTAGTTTGATGAAATGACATAGGGTTGTGTCATACCTTTCTGAAATTGTAAGAACCATACCATTCAAGGAAAGTTAGTGAAAAAAATCATAAAACTAATCTTTAAAAACTATTTGGGTTTATACAGGGGTCAAATAGGGTCCCGAACTTAGGCGCCCCTCTAACTGATATCAAGACCTACCACAGGGGTGCATGCAATTGTTGTACATTTTGTCAGAAAATATGACTAGTCGTTATATCCCTTACAAAAAAACCCAGCGAACTTCCAGTGAAAAAATGTTCCAAAACCCAGCGAACTTCCAGTGATCTTTTCCAGTGATCTCTAAAGTTCACTGGAAATTTCCAGCGAACTTGTTCCAAAACCCAGCGAACTTCCAGCGAACATTTCCAGTGATCTTTAAAGATCACTGGAAGTTCGCTGGAAATTTCCAGCGAACTTGTTCCAAAACCCAGCGAACTTCCAGTGAACTTTTCTAGCGAATTTTCATGTTTATGTATAAAAATAGATTCGTTAGAAGTTTTTTTAAAAAAGATTTTTTATTTTTGCTATAAAAGTTTCAAAAGTTTATAAACATTTTAAAATTTTTTAACCAATAAACGCGAAATATGAGAAGTTAAGCGCGATAAAAAAGTAATATATTTATTTTAAAATATCGAGTTTTATAAATTAAAATACATGTATTTTAATTTATAAAACTCGATATTTTAAAATAAATATATTACTTTTTTATCGCGCTTAACTTCTCATATTTCGCGTTTATTGGTTAAAAAATTTTAAAATGTTTATAAACTTTTGTATTGTATTCTGTATTGAAGTTTATTTCTGAGAATTTGTAATTATACCTAAGATAATCTAATCCTACATTGCAATGTAGGATTAGATTATCTTAGGTATAATTACAAATTCTCAGAAATAAACTTCAATACAGAATACAATTTTTAACAAGAAACTAAAAAGTTAATTTATTAATTAATGTAAAACATATTTTTTATAGGCATAAGTAAACTTTATATTACGCATGTTTCTATATTTAAAAAGTTTTTTCTCGTTAGCGTTCTCATAAGACAAATTATCACAACGAAACAAAAAGAATTAAGAAATTCGTCAATTCATCTTTTGAAAAGCTAAAAAAAAAAAGAAAAAAAAAAGAATACATACAATAAATAAAGAACATATATATATATATATATATATATATATATATATATATATATATATATATATATATATATATATATATATATATATATATATATATATATATATATATATATATATATATATATATATTTAAACAATATTGAAAATGTATTCTACAAAATAGAGTGCTCAATGTTCTTAAAAGAACAGAGCAATTATAAATAAGTAGAAAATTACTTAACAAAAATTTTTTTTCATTTTACACTGTTACATTGAAAACTTTTAAAAAATTTTCTATTAAGTGACTTTCTACTAATATATATATATATATATATATATATATATATATATATATATATATATATATATATATATATATATATATATATATATATATATATATATATATATATATTCTGGTAAATAAATTTAAAAACTGAAGACAATACAGAGAAAAAATTAATGGACAAATAAACTTGCTACAAATCAATTAAAAATTTTATTACAAATTATGACAAAATAAACCTAATATTAAAATAACAACAATAATGTAGTAAGTTAGTTAGATAAATTTATATTTAGGATTTTCCCATTTAATATGAAGTGCTTCTTTTATTTTTAATTTGTTAATGGTAGAGGCAGTATCCAAAATCTAAAAGCAATCAAAATTAGTTAGTGTTTTACAAACACTAACTAATAATTAAATAAAACATAATATTCAAAATAAGACAAAATGTGAAATGATAAGCAAAAATAAAACAGTATAAGATAGATAAAAACATACCAACATATTTTCGCGCAATTAGAATCAATCATTTTTTATTAATTTATCAATTTCCAACCAATAGCATTTTATCACTTTTATCCTGCATAAAAATAATAATTATAGATAAAATAATAAAAACTTAATTATATATATACATACATACATATATATATATATATATATATATATATATATATATATATATATATATATATATATATATATATATATATATATATATATATATATATATATATATATATATATATATAATCAATTATTATAATAACTAAATAATTTTAATTTAAAAACCCAGCAAACTTTCACTGGAAGTTTTCTGTTTTTTTTTTTTGTAAGGAACTTTACAATTTTTAAACTAATTTGTTTTTAAATTTTCAACTGTTTAAATCAACATAACAAAAAATCATACAGCTCTACTTTTCTGTACTGATATAGATATTTAAATCTGTAAAAAACATAATAGTCATTATAAAGCAAAACTTAAACCTGTATATTAGTGAAAAAGAAAAATATTGCAGTAAGTATATCTTATAGGCAATATGATGCTTAAGCATGTTTTTTAGCCCATTTCAAAAAAGTCGAGAACCAAATGGCAGTAGTTAATTTTTTATTCCGAATAAGTGTACTTTGTTTACTTTCTCTGATAACTTATATCATCTAATTCAAATTGTATTTATTAGGATATTTTAGCATAATTTTAGATGGAAAAATTATGAAGTCAGTGGTCTGTTGGTTCTCTACTGACAAATTAGCATAACAAAACAAACAGAATTGCGAAAATTGACTTTAAAAGTATTTTCGTTTGGGTCTTTAAAGCTAAAAAAAAAAGATGGTTTATACAATATTTAAAAGACATCAATAACAATTTTATAAAAACATATAATAAATACTGTATAAAATATATATATATATATATATATATATATATATATATATATATATATATATATATATATATATATATATATATATATATATAGAGAGAGAGAGAGAGAGAGAGAAAGATTTTAGTTTACTTAAATAAAAACTGCATTAAAATATAATACCTGCTTTAAAAAAAGCTCTGTATATATATAACTGCTTTAAAATAACTCTTTAATATAAAACATATTTTCTTTACCATACAAATCAGAAAACTCATAAAAAAATCTATTAACTAATAATGTGGCTTCATTAATTACACTTTCAGATAATACCTTATTGTTCAACGTAAAAACAATATTAGATAAAAGAGTAAAATGGTCAAAAAACTGAGGAGGCAAAACATCACATAAAATAACAGGACCATAAAAAACTAAAAAAGTAAAAAACTCAATACCTTTCCAATGCTTTATACAACTTAATGATCATCGAGTCTGTCTTATATTGCTTGGCACACTGATTGCAGATAAAAGATTATTTACAACAGTACAGTGTCTTCTAATAGAAAAAATATAACCAGAATAATAACTATCAAATCAGAAAGAAAACATAGCTTTCATAACACCAAGCTCAATACAGTGCAGATTATTAACAACTGTTCCATTTTCACAATTAAAATTAGGTACTCTTACAAATGTAGAAAAATCTAAAAACCCTTTAATCACATTAATCCAAAAAAAATCTGTATGGTTTCTACAACTCCCATTAACATCAGAAAATGGATAAGTCATACAAGACCTCCTACCTTATTTTAACTCTTACCCCTTGAGAAGAACACCAATGGCAACCATTATAATCATTAAACTACCTACAACAAAAAACCATAGCTCCTGCAATTGTAACCCCCCAAAAAAATAGATACATGAAAAAAAACACGAACATTATTAGATAAGAGTATACCAGTAGTGGATAGGTTAGTAAAAAATCAACAAAACAAGATAAAAATAATTGCACGTTTGGTTTTTTAAAACTGGACCAGAAACCAAAAAACAAAATATTAGTAATTTGCAATGAATATGGAAAATTATAAATGGATGCTAGCAAAGGCCACAAGGTCCACTTTGATAATTTAAAAACAGGAATTCTATCAGTATTAACAACAAGTCTAATTGTTGCTTGCACATTTTCTTCAAGACTTGCTAAATGTATCCAATTGTTATCACACATGCTTTTATGCTGTTTGTTTATGTTTAAAATATGAAAATAACTGCATTTCTTATAAAGATAGGATAATGTAAAATATTTCAAACATTTTGTACATTGCTTATTAGTACTTAAAGCAACTTCACAAATATATATATATATATATATATATATATATATATATATATATATATATATATATATATATATATATATATATATATATATATATATATATATATATATATATATAATTAGTAAAAACACTTATCTAATTTTTATTTTCTTCTACAGCTTGTTTCTCCATCAGTTGGATCATCAGAAAGATTCCTTCCTGATGATCCTACTGATGGAGAAACAAGCTGTAGAAGAAAATAAATATTAGATAAGTGTTTTTACTAATTTATTATTGCTCTGTTCTTTAAGAACGTTGAGCACTCTATATGTAGAACACACTAACATATTATATATATTATATATATATATATATATATATATATATATATATATATATATATATATATATATATATATATATATATATTCATATATATATATATATACACTAATTTATTATTGCTCTATTCTTTAAGAACGTTGAGCACTCTATTTGTTGAATACACTAACATATTATATATATATATATATATAAATATATATAAATATATATATATATATATATATATATATATATATATATATATATATATATATATATATATATATATATATATATATATACTGAGAGAGAGAGGGATATATATTATATATCCCTCTCTTTCAGCGAGAGAGAGAAACAGATTGTTATTTATTATTTTAAATATAAAATACTTAATCATAAAGACATTTATAAAAATTATTTTTATAAAATAATAAAGTTGAATTTAATAAATAAAATGCATTCGCATAAAGCGAATGCATAATAAACAATACTTAAGAGAAATAAACATTTTGAGCAACATACCAGATGATTTTGTTTTGTAACTTGAGTAGAACTAATAATAATTGAAACTCACACTATAGATCATCTATTAGATGCAAAAAATAAAATAAAAAGGATTACTTTTATACAAAAATTTGAAATATTATTTTAAGAAGCTATATTATCAATTTTCCAAGTTTTAACTGCTTGCAGAAGTTGTAACAGCAACGCTTTTTACATCACCGCGAAATATTTCGCAAGAAACCCAGTAAACTTCCAGCGAACTTTAAGATCACTGGAAGTTTTTCGTTGGATTTCCAGCGAACTTCCAGCGAAGTCTTTTGTTTCCATGGAAATCTAGCGAAAACCCAGTGATCTTAGTAAATTTCCAGTGATCTTTTAATTTCCAGCGAACTTTCGCTGGAAGTTCGCTGGGTTTTTTTGTAAGGGATGTCCCTCCCTCAGATGGATCTTCAAAACAGTCTGAGGGACGCCAATGCCGAGTACTTTTTTCTTAAATTAAAAGGGGAAAAAAACATTATTTTTAGAAAATATTTATTAAAATTATTTAAATGTTTTCCATTGAAACTATAAAGCTCTTTTCCTCTTCTTATACTGCTTTTGCAAGATTCGCAAATAACTTTAGGATAGAATGAATTTTTAATGTTGTATTTAAAATTCACTAAATTTTTAATCCACGGTACATTAATATCGTTAGGTTTATTTGTTTTTTTGGCACAATATAAACACACTTTTCTCCTGTTTTCCTCATGAGTACAGGTCGGTTTAAATAAACTCATTCTATCTAGAAAAATAAAACAACTTAAGATCACAGAGAAAACACACTTTTTATTATACCTAAAATATAAAGATTTCTATACCATATAATAATTCTTTAAAAAATGTTTCAAACACACTATACAAATATAACATAATATAATACAAATATAAATGCTGACTATTACAGTATATAGGTTCCTTATTAAATAGCATTTAACATTACTTTTTTTTTTTTTTTTTAATTTTAATTCACCTCCTCAAGGCCGAGAAGGCCACTACAGACAAGGAGGCTACTTATTTGTGGTTATAACCCTCTCTCAACTCTATAACTCCGAAACACGAACCTTGACGAGCAAGGCCGCTGCGCGGAGAAACGAGTTGAGTTGAAAGCTTAACAAAAGCGTTTGAAAACTTACAAGCGTTGTTTATTATACTTTAATTTTTAATGTTAAAGCAAAATGAAAATATGTAGAATTAAGAAGTTTGGTTACACATGTGGTAATGACGAGTTGCGGTCTGTTTTGTATTGTTCAGTATAAAACTATTGTTCAGTATAAAACTACTGTACAATATTTGAATGCTTTTTTTATTTTATTTTTTCAATGAAAACATATTTGACTAGATTGATAAAGTGATTTTTGATATTTTGTTTAAAGTAAAATATATTATTCGTTCTTTATAAACTTATTTATAAAGTTTAATAATGATTATATACACACGGGTCAAAATAGGTGATGAACTTTGGTGCCTTTCGGGTTGTTTTTTAGACCATCTAGAAGGGGCAACTAATAACTAGTTATATTATTTAACAAAATATAAAACAGTTTTTTTCCCCTCTCGGGTTGGTTTCATGATCAACCAGAGGGGCGTTAAAGTTTGGTAACCGTTTTGACCCCTGTATAAACCCAAATAGTTTTTAAAGATTAGTTTTATGATTTTTTTCACTAACTTTCCCTTAATGATATGGTTCTAACAATTTCAAAAGGGTATGACACAACCCTATGTCATTTCATCAAACTAAAATCTGGTTCAGCGTGGGTGTGCCTAATAAGCTGCAGATGGTCTGAAAAAAAAGTTTTTAAAAACTTCATAGGCCGGGTGAATAAAAACGAGCAATTGCTTTTATTCAGTAATTGGTCAGTTTTACGTGAATAAAAGCTAAAAGAGTTTTTCCTAAGTTTTTATTTACGTAAAGACGAACAATTACTAAGTAAGTTGCTTAATTTACGTGAATAAAAATTTGAGCAAAACTGCTGATGTTTTTATTCACGTAAAGCTGACCAATTACTGAGTAAAAGCAGTTGCTTATATTTATTCACCCGGCCTAATAACTAATAACTTATATAAAAAAAAAAAAATTTTAAAACAGTTCTGCTACTCCCGAAAAAAAAAAAAAAAAGCCCGTAGTTAGAAAATAAATTAAAAATTTATTTTGACAATAAATAGTTTTTTTTGCTACATATATTTTTTTACAATAATTATGTGCTCCAGCTGTTTTTCAAAACGCCTTAATATGCTTACTCTATAATAACTGGATAGCGCATCTCTATTATCAAAAGTGAAGCCAATATTTTGTACGGCCGCCATATTGGAAAGCCCCAGAATACCGAAAATACAGTGATTGCGCTTGAAGATGTACCTTTTTACTTCGTTTATATCTACTCGACCAAGTCACATATTTCAATGATATTATTATACTTAAAATGTTTGAAGGTGTAAAAATTATAAAAGGGAATCAAAAACACGCAAAACATTAACGACGAAGAGAAATATCGCTATAAAGAAATAATAAAATTTGTATTGCTTTCTATGAACTTGTTAAATTTATTGAATTCATGATATTCTAAATAAAACTTTTCTGAAAGACAAATTGATATTTGATCTGGTTACTTTTGGGTGTTTATTTTAACAACTTGATGCGACCTTACTTAGCAATAGTAGCTGGAAAGTAACTTTACAAGTATAAAACATGATAAAAACATTGTATCAAACATTTTTGTAAATGGTTTTCTAATTTTTGAAACTCTGAGGGCATGTTTATATTGTTCCACAACTGAAATATCATAGTTGATGATATTTCAGTTGTGGAACACGATGATATTTCAGTTGTGCAATACTTTATTAAAATTGATATCACTTAATAACAATGTTTTGTTCTGTTGCTTTGCTAACTTCAATTACACTTTGTGAAGGTTTGAAAAAGCCATTTCTAACTTTAAAAAACACTAGATATTTGGTGATAACTAGTTATTTGCAGTTTTACATTAAAGTATTTAGTGTTTTAGACTAAATAACAGCATCACATACATGTTGATTGTTTATATGTAAATATGGTATAAATTAAAACAAACATGGTTTTTTTCAAGTTTTTTTACAACTATTGACTCTAAAGTAAAATAATAATGATTCAGCTAATATCTATCAGTTTTATACTGATAAATATTAGTTGTATAATTAATAAATATTAAAAATATTTCTTGTTAAAACAAATAAGCAACAAAAGACCAAAATGAAAGGTGAGTAATTTTTTTTTATAAGTGTACATACTTTTTTACTTTTCCCTACCACATAATACTTTTTTATTCAATGTTTATTTTGTTATTCAATGCTTATACAAGTTATTCAGTGATTATTTTGTTCAAGATGATAGAGCTAACTATTATCTTATTTATATATTTTTTCTTTAACGTATTCTTTTGTAATTGCAATATCTTATACAAATGTTCTGGTGTTGTGAAAATGTCTAATGGCATTTACAAAAATGTTGTGAAAGTATTTTTCGACAGTTAAGCGTTAAGTTAATTTATATATATATTATATATATATATATATATATATATATATATATATATATATATATATATATATATATATATATATACACGCAAGAACAAAATTATTAAAAGTAAAT